AGTGTTTCCACTACAAATAACAAATATACCTCACCCCTGTCTCAACTATCCCTGTACACACTCCCCCTGCCCCCGCACAATCCCCACTCCCCCACGTACAGTACCCAGAAATCTCCCCTAACCCCCCCCTCCCCCCCCCCCCCCCCCCCCCAATTTTTTTTTTTTTTTTAATATCAGCAATTATAACTATGTTTATGATATTTCTAGATATTTCTTGAGTACCGAAAAGTCATCGATAGAACGGCATTTGTATTCAGTTAGTTTTGATGGGAAAACTAGAACTGCTTTGACTCCAACTGATGAGACAGCCTATTATTCTGTAGATTTTTCTACAGGTGCTGAGTATTATAATCTAAAATACGAAGGTCCTGATGTTCCTTGGCAGAAAGTATTGAAAGTTAGCAATAGCTGTAAGTATTACGTTTACAGAAATTGCCTATACACAAAAATTTATATTAAAACCTTATAAATTGCTAAATCGCAGTTTTATTTTAGCATTTGAAATGATCCTGCAGGACAACAATAATCTTAAAGAATTACTTAAAACTATTGATTTACCCACAATAAGACGTTTTACAGTAGAAAGTGAAGGAAATCGTAAATACTCGGTTTGAAATACATTCTCATTCTGAATATTTATATAACCAACGTCTAATTTCCTATCTAATTGTAGAACTCAACGTTATGGAGATCCAACCACCAGGAATGGATTTAACTGGACGTGAAAAATACCCTGTTCTTTTTCATATATACGCAGGTCCAAATTCTCAATATGTTCATACAAAGTTTAATATTGATTGGCATTCGTTTTTAGCGTCTTCACCACGCTTAAAATATGTTGTTGTGCTGGTTGACCCTAGAGGAACTGGGCTCAAGGGTCGTGCTTTTCGTTGTAGTGTAAGAAAACATTTGGGAGAATTCGAATCAACAGATATAATTAATTCAGCAAAATATTGGGCTAGTTTACCGTATGTTGATTCTGGTAAAATGGCTATTTGGGGATGGTCATTCGGAGGTTTTGTAACTTCTAAAGTTATCGAGATGGATTCCGGGATGTTTCAAGTAGGAATGGCTGTAGCACCAGTAACAGACTGGAGGTAAGTTATGAATTTGGAATTCTACTACAAATGTATGTTATCTCATAAAATCTTTCTTTTTATTAGGTTCTATGATTCGATTTACACGGAACGCTACATGAAAACTCCTGCATTAAACCCATTAGGTTATCAACTTAGCGCTATAACCAACATGACCGGGTTCGATCATGCCAAATTCTTGGTGGTGCACGGAACTGGTGATGGTAAATATTTTATCATTCTATGATTTGACGCATTTATTCATGGTTTATTATTTAATATAATAACTTTATTTTTGTTTGATATTTTTGTAATTAAGATAATGGTAAGGAGGATTTGTTCAATGAATTCTTTGGTCATAACGAGACTATCATTTTTTAATAAATATATATGTTTAAAATTTTTTAGTTCACTTTCAAAATACAGCAAACTTGGTAGATAGATTTACTCTGGCATCCATCCATAATTACCGTGTGCAATTTTATACCGATAGCGACCACTCAATTAACAAACATAACGCAAACCGAGAGGTATTCTTCATTTAACGTTCTTGTGATTAAGAGGGAATGACACTTTTCTGACCATGACTATATTTTTTTTTAGCTTTATTATTTACTGACTGAGTACCTCTGGCAGAGTTTTGGATCTCCTGACACTTTATTTAAAATATAATTTGCAAAAAAAAAAAATTTTGGTATGCATTCTTATATTCACAACATAGCAATTACATTTTCCTTATGATTAGACTGAGTTTAATGTATAATATGTTCATTTATTGAAACATTTTGAGGTCAAATGTTAATTGACTTGTACAAAATTATGGAGTAATTAGGTGATCGTCATATGTTGGGATTAGCACAATGTTGACGCTTCTAGAGAGTATTATTTATTGACTAAATTTTGTTAAATGAGAGGCAAGATTTGGGTACTCTATACAGTTATTACTCCTTATTGTACTAGGTTTTGTTTATTAAAAAAAACTACATTATTTTAATTTTTATTTTATACAGAAAAAAAAATAAAAGCATTTCAAATATTTTGTCAATAATTAAATCTACTATCGTTATTAACATCAAAGCCGGATAATTTGTTTGAACGAGATAAGATCCATGTTATAATATATGGGCTGTCGTCAATAGAAATCAGCAGATTAACATTTTAAAAAAATCAATACTTTAACTTTTGAAGTTACTTTAATTATTCAATAGCCAAAAGAAAGCTAAGATCTCAAGCTTCTTTTGGATATTAAATAATTAAACCAACTTCAAAATTTATCGAGATATGAGCTGTGAAAGTTAAGTAATTATTTATTTTAAAATGTCAATCTGCCTGATTTCTATTGACGGTAGGCCATATAGAAAAAAAAATTTACTATATATTTGTATATATAAATTGTTTTTTAAAAAAAATAATATCGGAAATAGTAACAAACATGCCTTGATCGTAAAAAGTATAGGAAAAAAATTTGACATTAATATATGTATCTAATCTCTACTAACGTGCATATATGTAGCTTTTTCGCGTTATATTATTGCATAGTTATTGTACATATTATAGACTTATAGCTATACAGTATTTGGTATATATATTTAAAAATTTTGAATTACAACTTTACATTTATAGGCATTTTTATATCAAAATTTAAATTTATATTAATCCATACAGTAAAAAAAAGTACATTCTTATTCAAAAGTTTTAAGTATAGTACTATATAACTTGAAATATTATTAGCACCAATCTCATAAAATAAAATTCATTATATGCTTTAAATGCTTTTTACCATAAATAATTTTTCAAAATTTCTAAAAGGTAAGGTGTTATTTCTTCTTCGGATACTTTCGTTCGTGTGCCTTTTTTTTTTTATGCTAGTCTTAACAAGTTTATTTACTCTAGCTTCGAAACCTGGGCATAATTATACCACCTATTTATTTCATGTTGGATTGGTATTTGTATCAATTGTATTAAATTGGTAAATATCTCCTAATTGCCGTCTGGCAATAATTAATAACAAATCTTTCTTTACAATACTAAACTATTATGACTTAAGGATTTTACAGTTAAGATAATAAAAAAAATAAAAAACCAAAATATACTGTTTTAATGCCGAGTGTTTTGTTGAATTAATTTGGAAAATAGAGAGATGAAATTTTTTGCAATTTATATTAATGAAAATAATTAATTTATATTCATTGTTATAATAAAATAAATAAATAAAGATATATTTTATACTTGGGTGTATAAAGTCGTTTATATAATAAGACTGTTTTAGTATCACTATTGTAAACTCTTGTCACTATGAATAATTTTTTACGTAAATATTAGTGCGTGAGAATGAAGACCTGGAAAACGATCATAGTAAATAATTAAACCGGTTTCCAGGTTTTCACCCTCACGCACTCATATAATAAACTTTTGTCATCATAAATTAAATAAGTTTAATATACTTGGTTTCAAAGATTATCTCTCCTGCTTGTTCCAACCTCTGCATAAAGGTGCATTTCATTGATTGAAAAGGTATAAAGAAAAGCGCTAAAGCATCACATTACTTATTTTATTATTAGGCAATTTCTATTTGAATGCTAGTGTATAAAACGCAAATATATTGAAGTTTTAAAATTCTAATAATAAAACAGCTTTTGAGATCTAACAAAAAAGTAAAATTTTAGTATAAGCTATTGTGATACTGGAATATCGTGACCGATCATGTGAAAAATGCTCGAAATATAATAAGTTACATTTGTGATCGGAAATGATATATCGAATCCAGAGAAGTAGATAAAGAAATAAGGGAAGGATGTGGAAACAAATTACATATTCTTAAAAATAGTACATAAATCATTGTATATAATATTAAGTAGTCTTAAAGTAATAATAAGTGCAAAATCACATTTATAAGTGTAACTATCTATTAAGAGTAGATAGGTTGTAACAATTCTTTTTGAAGATTTAGACAATTTTAGGTTATTTTTTTATTAAAGAAAATTGCAAGAAAAAGCTTATTTAGTTTTCTTTTTTTCTTTACATATTTATATTACATATTACAATATAATTACTTGATTATAACTCTTCAATTACTCATTTATGATTCTAATTGAATGTATAACTATTACAATTACTAATGATTTAATGTTTGCTCATTTCAATATGATTTTGATTTTACATCATGTTCATGTGACATATGTTTGTTTAATGAACTTTCAACACATTTATTGTATAACATGTGCATTCGCAATGTTTTCTTATAATAAGTATCAAATTTAGTATTATAAATAAAGATCAAAATGATCTTTAAGAATGATATATCTTATTTTCTTAATTAAAAATAACAAGTCTAAATATATTATATTGTATATAATAAACTTATTGTAAATTCTATAAACCTTACATAAATTTTATTATTCATTTAAGTTCTTATTCATATGATTTATCTGACTTGTTTTCTTGAATCTAAAGTAATTAAAAGTCTTAATCACTCATCAGTCAAATCTAACATTCTCTTTCAAAAAGATTACCTATTGTTAGTTGCAAGAGAATATGAATTGTGAAGCAACTAAGTTGTAAAGATCTGAATACAATATTTTAGTAATAACTGTAAAATCTAAAAAATAAAATAATGTTTGCTATTCTCTCTAATTCAAAAAAATTGAATTATCAAAAAAAAAAAGATTTTAGTTTAATTCAATATACTATAATCTTAGCTGTGATAAAAGAAAAGAAGTAATATAGTATTAACAAAGTATAAAATACTAATGTTAGAATAAAAAAAAAACTTATTCAAAAAAAAAAAATGCCAATTTTGATTTGATGTAATATAATTCTAAGTTAAGATATCTAATATAAGTGATATAATTATATTTTTGTATTTTTGTTTACATAATTAATATAAAGTGTATTATTATTCTAACCAGTTGATTTTATGTATTAAAAACTACTAATATTGTTTCTAACTTTTCCAACATACCATAAACAGTTAAGATAATTGAATTCTGGTTTAAGGTCTAAGAAAAAAGCCTAATTATAGTTTTAATTATAAGAATAGTAAGTACAAAAGTTAGTAAGATAATAGGTTTAAGAAAAAACTCAAAGAAGAAACTAATACTTACTTACAATCAAGAGTTTGTAGTAATTTAAAAAAATAAATAAAATTTATAAACTATTATTAATATAAACTATTAGTAAAATAAGATTCAAATAAAAATACATTAATAATATTAAGTTCTGAAAACTTTCAAGAAAAGAACTAATCCAAAAGGTTTTCAAAAAAGAATCATATATTCTTATTACAAAAAGAGAAACATAATGTTAGTAATTATTTAAAAATAAGAAAGAAACAGCTAAAATTCATAGAGTTATAAAATATACTTATTAAAAAACAAATCACAGAAGTTAAAAAAATAGTTGATAAAACTATAAAAAACTATAGTTTTTATGAAATGCAAGTTTTAAAATATTTTTTTAAAATATTAACAGATGTTAGCTAAGATAACAACTCTAATAATGATGATAAAGAAAAAGATATTATATATCTGCTTTTTTATAATTAACAGGTCTTATTTGTAGAAGAAAAAAGTTCATATCTTATGTTTTTAGAAGTTTTGAGTTCAAAAATTTTTTCAATACCATTCTGGTACTAGAAGAACCCAATTGATAAAATAATTAATTTCTATTTTGTTATAGAAATAAAGAATAGTAACTCTAATATTGAAGTTCTTCTAAAAAGCCTAATTGATAGTTATTTAAAAGCATTTTAGCTTGAAGAACCTAAACTCATTAACTATAAGTATTGTCATCAAAATAAAATTATCATTAAAAATATAAAAATAAAGAAATTAAAGAAAAGACTAATTATAAAACACTTAGATAATATTAAAAAAATACTAAAAACAACAATTTAAATAAGCAAAATTGTGTTGAACTCAACCATAAGAGAGAACTTAAAACTAAAAAGAATAAAAAAGCATTTATTAATTTTCAATAATTTACTAGTTTGAGTAATGCTAATAGAGTATATAATATTAGTTACTATTATCAAAATAGTATTAAAGTCAAAAAAAACTGAAATAAAGGCATTCTCTTATTATTAAAAGTTTGCAAATATGAATAATTCTAATAGAATGATTACATTTAATAGATATAAATTTTCTGCTATACAAAATTAATAACAAATTCTATTAAAAAACTTAGATAAAGCCTGTAAAGATTAGAACAGAAAAATGAATAAGTTTAAAAAATTAATTTAAAACAATA